ATTTGAAGTGCAGAAAGAACTAGGGGAAGAATGCCTGCTATTATCGATTATGATCTTTCTGTTGCGGATTCGTTCATACTTCAATTCATGGGTAGCAAGAAGGCGGCTATAAGATTAACCGATGAAAAGACCTTAGAAAATCTGGCATTTTGGCAGATGATTTAAGTCTCACGTTTCGGTAACTCAAAGGGGTGATTAAGATACCCAACTGTTAAAAACAGGTATTAATGAATGTTTTGGATTGAAGTATGCGCTGAAGATGTTGCCTGGTAGGGCAATGAGAGCTTAGCTAACAAACTATCCAGCTCAGAGACTACAACTACATCAAAATAATCTACACCGGAGCTAAAAATCTTCATCATAACTAGCGACTGTCAACAGGATAAATCTGTGTGAAGGTGCCTCTCTCATTTATCTTGGCAAGGTTATTTGAAACACGGATAGAAATGGCGAGGATGAAAAAGACATTAAAATAGGAGGGCAACATCGTCGTCCATTGTCATTTCGAAATCAGTGCGGAGGCCTGCATAGCTTAACACGAGGAACATGGTTGGAATTTTGCAACATTTTTGTCAAATCAATGTTTCTCTACACTCCAGTGACTTGAAATATAGCTAGTTGATATTCATGGCTGAGAACCAAATGTAATGAAGATATCTCACCGAAGTCTTAAGTTCCACTTGGATCAAAAGAAGTCAATGTAAATAAACAAAGTGGATACATTTCGAAGGTGTTAAATATTCTTAGTTCGATCACTTATTTAACAAGGTGAAAGTAGATCAGGTTTATTAAAGATGTGTCATCAGTACAACATCCAAACGTCCCTCATTTTCCTAGGCTATTATCGACAAGTTATTCAGTAAACTAGATCAAGTCTCGTTAGCTAATTGTCCGTGTCACATTTTTCAGCAGGATAGAAATTTGAATAATGTTCAGAAAGGTAATTTTTGTATTAGTCATTCACCAGATAACGATCTTTAACGAAATGAGTTAGTCTTACTTTAAAAATCTTAGATAAATTTCTTATGTGTATCGGTTTGAATGCACCTGAGCCGCTTGAAAACAATTTTGAACCATGTCGCTAATAATCCTGAGGAATTGATTCTTAGAATTTCGAAAACCCAAGGCAGACAGTTAACAAACAGTTAATCAAATGATAGTAGAGTGATGTCATATTTTGATTTGATTATCCCAAATGCTTCCCTTTTCGACAGAGTCAACTGTGAAGTAATTTGATGACTACTTTAACACTACGGAGCGCAGTAGCGTCATCATGTACTGATCAAAAACAAGAGCTAATATAATGATACCACATGTCAGGTGATCCACAGTCGAAGGCTCAGAGAGGCCTATGAAAGGAAGAAATGAGTATGACACTGATGTATACTATCATTGACGATCTTCAACACTGTAGTGGACTGGAGCATGCGCCGGATTGAGGGAAGTGAGAGGACAAGTATAAGTTAGATCGGGAAGTACATCCTAGAATATCTGGATATAGCAGATGTTTCCTGTCTCAAATCTCATAAATTACAAGATATACGAAAGAAAACTTACAAATTGGAAGAAGGTAGCAGTTTAGGTGAACATAGAGAAGAGAGAGGTGGTGAATATTTGCAACCAAAAATAACAAGCATTAATCACCATCAAGTGAAAAATCTAAAAGAAATCGTCTCTTTCATTTGCGTAAACAGACAGCATTATCTCAACTACAGGTCGTCCAAAGACATGTAACGGAAGACAGATGTTCATTACTCTGAAAACAAGAATACGATTCGAATTTTCAACGCTGCTTCTGTATACTTATAATTCAGTTTGGATTACCCCATTGACTGACTGGACCAAAATATTCAGCCTCTGGCGAGAGGTCATCTCCTAGTGAGGATGCTTCGAAGATATTTGAGGGTTAACATGAAATAATTTAGTGGATAGAATCCGGAATGCCCATTTTGCCGTATTTTGGACCAGTCAGTTGGACGTACCTGTATTCCCCAGTGACTGTTGGTGTTCCCGCTGACTCTTGAGCCAAGTACCCATTGTTTCAAATGCCAAGTGCATATACTGATGGATTCCACTGCTATTCACCATCCACTAAATTACTTCTAACATCGTCAAATCAACCTGCACTAGCAGCCAGCATGCAAACACAGGCCTAACATTTCGGTCTAACCAATCAACGAGAAAATCAAAATTGAATTTAAAACAAATCATAACTGATACCTGTCTGCCATGGTCCAAGTGGTCCAGCAGGTAAATCTTTGGCTTTGGGAATGATGTTGACTGGGTTTGAGTCTCAGTGACAGGGACAACATTACTCAGGTCAGATGCAAGTACATTCAGTTGTCAAGTACCAAATATGGCGGAACATTCATCCTAGATTTCACTGATATAGGGTTAAGAGAATTGACGGGGAGATGGTGATGAAGCCACCTGATCTCAAGAAATGAATACCAATAACAGTAACAATAAAAGTAGCAAAAACAAACTGAATCTATGATCATTTATTTCACAAAATAAAAGTTAACCAGTCTTAATAATAATGATATCAAAATGACTTTACAAACAACAATACTAATAATGCTATTAAACTTTACATGGTTTCCTTTCTGAACAGTATTTTTAAAAATAACAGAAATTGAAAATACGCGGGGAAAATTAACAAACACACTGAAGAAGAATGTTCAATGGTTCAATGTTTCGAATTATTATAGTTTGTTTTGTTAAATAACACTAATAATAGCTAACAAATTAAAAGGCAGATATCCTGATGTTATTGCATAGAATAACTTTCTATTTTAATTCAAATTTTATTGTACATGTTAATTTCTCTTTAATTTAATGGATTTTCCCGGTTTTGTTTTAATTGATTATGCTGTTTTCAATATTACGCCTTATTGCACATAATAAAAATAATAATAATAACAAATATATTGATAATTTTAACATATGATCTTCGCTGAAACTGATTCTGATGACGACGTTAACGAGAGTGATGGGGACGTAGATTTAGAGATGATTTTGTTATTTATGATGTGTGTGTGCATGTATATGCGCATCAGATCATTTACAAAAAATGGTAAACATATGATCAGATTATATTGATTTATAGAGTAGTATTGAACGATTTCCAAGAAAAAAGTAGATAAACTTATTTGCTTGATGTGATACAAAACTGTAGATAAAAAAGTAAAATAATTAAAGAGGAAAAAGTAACAAAAGCAAAGATTAACTAATCGTGTATTGATTTAATCAATTGTGTAAATAAAAAATAAATGTGAATGTTTAAATGTTGACTCTCTTTTAAAAAGATATATGTTTAACTCTGTTTAAGTCAGCCTGATTGATCACAAGCTGAAAGTCAATTAGAAGACCATTGGAAAATCAGCACTAGATTTCTGTGTAGATGTTTATCCATAGTTTGAGACTCTTCATCGGTACGCATATTTTTAACATAATTTTATCAACAACTGCCTTTGCTCCTTATTGAGGATCGACTGTCCAGGAAGAATTAGGAACAAGAAAGTCTGGGAACGAAGTAACCAAGAACCTATTGATCAACAAATATTCCGAAAAAATGGAGAGGGATTGGGCAAACTCTGAGGAGGCCGCTCACCACACCATTACCTTAGGGGAACCCAAATGGCAATGAACGAGTTGTATATGGTTCCGAGGGTGAAACGGAGGAGATCGTTTGGTGAGGGGGAGATGGGAGACTATGGGCAAAACAAGGTAAAGTGGAGACGTGCTGTTGAAGTAAAAGTGATGTTTCACTCCTAACCCGATCCGTTGTCCAGCTCATAATTTCTAACTTCTACCGATCCAGATATGTATAGCGCACACTGGTGGCCAATGTGACTGACGAATAATTGTTCTCTACCCTAACCTTTTGGACACTGTAAACCAATACTTGATGATTAATCCAGTGCTAACTAGCAACAGGTTGCATACAGGAAGCTATCTGGAGTTATGCTGAAAATTTGTGACGAGTCAGGTCCACCAAGTCAGCTAAGAAAACAATTACTAACCTATGAAACTGTCTGAAACTCGAGTTCGATAACCCTTGTGTTGGCTTCCAGTGACTGAATGATCTACAAACTCGCTCGTGTGCGTCGGTGGTACAGTGTTAGTGCTCTCGCCGACCATACATTTGGTTTGGGGTTCGATCTCCGTCGACGCAGACCTAATATCAATGGTTGGCCTGGAAAATTTGGGCTACCGATATCACGTGCTGAAAATTCCATACATATACCAAAATACATTGTGGAATCAAGCTATGATCAAATCAAATTCTAACCGGAAGGCCATTGGTTCGAACTCAGGAGGTGGGTGCGTACTACCATAGAGCCTCAAACTAGGAGGAAACAGCTGCCCAGTACTCTCCGATGGTTTTCTTTTTTAATATTAACCATTATGTATTCTAACTTGTTAGTTCTCAACGATTCTACCATATGTCAAGTTGCTCATTATCTTGGTAAAAAGCTGTGAAACCAGGAAAGCACGTTTCGTCCTGTCCGAACTCACCATCTTCTGACTGATGTAGGTCTCACGGTGACTGGAAGTCAGTAGCCATCTACACTCTGTTCTCTTACTGAAATCAATATATGATTCAGTGTAACATTATCAACGAAATGGCTGTTTGACACAACTCGATCATTGAATTGAATGTTTGATTTTCCCGTCGATTGATTGGACCGAAGTGCTCGATCTCAGGTTGAAATGTCGGCTTCTTGTGCAGATGCTTCGATAATGTCTGGGGATTTGATTTGTATACAATTGGTGGATGGTGGCTAGCAGTGGAATCCAGGATGCGCATTTCGTCCTATTGGGACTCGTCAGCTGGATGTACCTGCATTTCTCAGTGAGTGATGATGATCCACAGAGGTTCGAGCCCGGTGGGAACATCATCACTCACTGAGAAATGCAGGTACATCCAGCTGACGAGTCCCAAATAGGACGAAATGCGCATCCTGGATTCCACTGCTAGCCACCATCCACCAAATGTATACAACTCAATCATGTTTTAAGTAAAATATAGTAAATCTTCTTAAACTTCTCCGCATTGCTTCATGAATCTAATCTATCTTAAGTTGGTACACTTTCTCGACTTTATTCTTTTTCTCTCTTAGCTAACTTACAATGTTCCTGCAAACTGATGATCTGAAAACTTTTGTTTGGCTTATTTCTGTATTAGATTGTTTTCAAAGGAATAATTGCTCATTTGAAGTTAGCCTCAGAGGTCTTATTCAAATAATTTCAAACCAAACGCCACTGAATACCAGCCTGCTTGTTTCAATGTCAAGCATGAGGAAGATTTACGTGTACTTATTCAATCTAACGATTCCTTTAATGTCGATAGTACTGTTTTAGAAAATAAACTGGACATTACTTATCTCGTATCAACTTTGTTTTCGTTTAGTTTCTGTTGATCGTTGTATGGTTTTTAGGATTTCAGGCAAGATCTTTCTGTTGATCTATTTTTTTTTTTTTTTTTTTTTTTTTCCATTGCCCACATATTAGGGTGTTGAAACTCTCCGTCATAACCCAGTTTTTTCTTTTTCAGTTTATTACCTCATGTGTTCAACTCATTCTTCTTCTGCTTTATTGTTCCATTCACATTCTTCCCTTTGCTTCTAAAAATTGACTACATTATATTATATAAGACTTTGAAGGGTGCAGCCAGGGTTAACGGTGTACCTATCATCCAATTAACTAAGACTTTTGGTGATAGACATATAAGGCAGTGTGACTAGTTGGCTGGGTCCATCACGTTGCATAATGAACGACCTCTTTATTAACGGCGTTCGCTGTATATGTCCTCTAGAAAAACTGGGAGTAATTACACTAGTTTTGTGGAAATTATTTTAATATAAGAATGTTGAGCATTCCACTTTGTGTTAAAATTATTGTTTGATTTAAAGTGTTTATTTGGTTACCAAATTTTATTAGATTCTTTAAGAATGAGAAGAAATAGATGTGATTCAGTTGTGTTCAGTAGACAGCAGAAGGTTTACTGATAAGCTCATTGAATTCCATGAGCTCATACGAAAGGTTGCGAAAATCTTTGCCACAAAATTTAGATTAGAGAAACAGCTCAAATGTCTGTTGTGTTTTCGAAAGTCAGTATATAACAACCAAACTTAAAATGAGGACTGGAACTGTGATAATGTTGCAAACAAAGATTTAAGAGTTAGTGTAAAACCAGTCAGGTTTTTAATAAGAAATGACTGACTGGGTTTCATCCTGGGCTTGTGAACAGAAGTTTCGCATTTCAAGTTTCCACAGTCCACATAGCGTCCAAGGGTGACTTGGAGGAGGTCATGTGAAGAGGAGATGAAAGCATGTGGGCAGACCTGGAGCAGGGTGAAAAAGTTGTCAGAAAACCGAAGTCAATGGAGGTGCGCAGCTGAAGCCCTATGTTCCTCTAGGAACTAAAGGATACAAAATAATAATAATAATAATAATCAGTAGACATGTACAGCAGAAAGAACAGTAACGTTGAAAAACACAATGTTTTAACTGATATGGTAAATAACAAAGAGCGGATGCATCATAAATGTTTTCAAGCTATTAGTTCTCAGTATCCTGAGGACTCAGATGAGATAGTCTTCACCTCCCTACGTGGTTCTAACAAAGAGTTAAACTTCATGAACTGATGCTGTGTTTTGGTTTAACGACCTCTGACTCTTTTTCAACCTAATCGCATGTCGGCTGACTCAATTTGTCGAAGACGGAGGTGGCCGAGCACGCGTAACACATGTCCTAACCATCTCAACTGATTCAATTTCACAACCTCATCGATGGACCTTTATACCTGACACTATAGGTCTAACAGCAAAACTGCCAGCCATATTAAACCAAGTAAAAATGGCGACTGAATACTAACATCTTCAGTCGAAGATGGCTAACCTTTTCATATCTTCTACTTTCAATGGCTATGTGTCACTCACAGAAAATTATGCAGTTCTAAGTGGAAATCCACCACAGTTTCCCTTAGTAACTCAAAATATTCCATAGTATTATATGATATCTTTGGAGCTGTCAATGGAAGTCGCTGCAAAAAGCAAAACAGCATGATTTTACGTTCTACTGAGTGTTAGGAGTAATTATGTATATCATTCAAGTTTGACAACAGTGCTGGCTAGTCAAAATAAAGGGAGCTAATCATCAGATATCCGTCTTGCTCGTTCTCTGTAAAGTCCAAGACGTTTGGCCAAAGATAGACTCAGGTAAAAGTGCCAAATAATTTACATTTCGTAAGTGTCCAATACTAGCTGGTGTTTATTTACAAGTAGTATATACAAGACAAACCAAAATATAATGAGAATGATTTTCAGCTACATTGCTACAGATGTTGGGTATTAAGACACTGAAAGCTTCACAACTAAACCATCCAACTCAGAGAATATAACCAAAATGAACCAGCATTAATCAGTCCAAAAATAAATGATGTCTCATAGACACTGATAAAACATCAACTCTTTCGAATCTTTCAGACAGAATTATTGAGGAATTTTAGTTCAAACGATCAAAGCCATTGACAGGTGTTTTCTGATCCCCTCTATCTGCTTAGGAGGAAACTCTACCATCTGACATAAACCTTTTGGTAAAAATGGTATCAACTGAAAGTGTACAATATACAATTTGCTTTTCTTTTACTTGACAGACTCGTTTTTCAATTTAAAAATTATTGTGGTCTCACCTGCCTTTTTGTTCGTCTTCAATGTTATTCAATCTTCAAAGAAAGGTCTCTAAATCATGATCAAATATATACATTTATAGCAACAAAACATCTATAACTAATGCACTAACACGCACCTACCCACGAAAATCATTCTGTCATGACTGAGAAGTGAACTACTTACTATTTTAGCCGTTTATATGATACATCAGCTTTGAATCAGAGTCACTCACAATTTTTTTCTCAAAAAGCATTAAAACTAAATATCTTTTAATTTACTTTGATTGAATAAACACTGGGTAGTAAGTAATCAGTCAAATCATACCAGTCAATATAGCAGTATGACTGCCATTTCAGGCGGCCTACTATCACTTTGCAATCTGAACTATTGTTATTAGATACTACCTAGTATCCGACTCTGAGTATGCAATACAGTCTAACAGGAGGTTAATCACAAGTTCGAATTGCTCAGTGATAAAGTCACTGACTGCAGCACTAGGTGACCACGCGGTTTCGAATCTCAGAGTAGATGTGAGTTCTCTCTAAACTGTAGATACGCTATGACGACTAGTGAGTGCTAACAAACACAAAGTCTAGGTCCAGAGCTTCCTATCGATTACTATCAACAATATAATAAACAATCTTTCAATTTGAGAGAAGTGAGAATAATAAAAACAGTGGTGTAACTCAGTCTGATATCAGTCCATAAATAGTAGCCAATGACTAATTGCTAATCTACAGTATTCTTCTTCTTCAGTATTCACTGGAATGCTATCATGAAGACATTAATTAATCTAACCGGTACAAAATTGCTTTTAAACGTAGTTCTACTAACAGTTACTGGCCATAATCCTGTTTTACAACTGACTTTATTATCTATTAATTTGTTTGTTGCATGTATTCCATAGTTTTGTTTTATTCGTTCATGTTACTACCGAATTAGAGGGCTTTAGGCTATTGCACTGAAGTTTCGAAAACAGTGCTTTTTATTTTTTGGGATGGAATTTCTCCACGCCTAGTCCTACCCCTTCATCTGCCTTACTACTGGTTTACCGAGGTTCGGAAGTGGTCTGATTGAGGACAGAACCCTGGACCACATGAAGCTTGGTTGGCTAGCGTCCTATCACTGAACCACCGACACACAGTGGTGAAACAGTATTTTATTCACTGGATGGAGTTTTGAACGTAATTCATTGTTCATAATCAATATCTACTACAACACCTATTATAGGGCCAAAGTTTCGCATACAAACGTTGAATGGTGTTGTCTTTCAAAAAAAAAACTTCAAATTCTCATCTACGAGTACATGATACTGCTGTCTTATTTTGTTGTCAACCAAACATGATATCGTTATAACAGAAGACAAACGGAAGGGTTAAAAGAATAAGGCAAGATGGAGAACTATTTACAGTAGCATAACTAGAAAGAAGAAAATTATGGTTTACAGATGATGCATACTGTTGAGACTGTTCACGAAGAATAGACAGTATTAACGAAAAGTTCACGTAGAACTAGGAGACAGTATATACTGGCGAGATGGATTCAAGAAAGGTGAATCATGTGTTGATCAAATAAAAACTCTATTCATCATCATAGAATGAAGAATAGAATGGCAGGCATACCTCTATATCGATTTCATTGACTTTAAAAAACACTTCGACAGACTTCACCGAGAAGTATTTTTGGAAACCCCCTCAACACTACTGAGTGCAGTTCCCCAAAATCTCTATCAACTTCAATCAACAACTATATGGCAACGGCAGGTGGCAGGTGATCCAAAACGGAAAATTTGTTAGAGCCTTCGAAGTGCGTACAGGATTAAGCCAAGTCTTCCTACTATGACTCGTGGTATTCCTAATAAGGGTGAACTGGATTCTATGGAACATCGTAAGCGGCGGGCAAGAAGAACAATTCCTCTGGACCACTTATAAGAAGACTGTGAAAGATCTGGGTTTTGCGCGTGGATGATATATGTCTAATGTCACATAAACGTGGAAACTTACAGGCGAAAACCAAATATTTGGCAGAAGAGGTGCGCAGCGGAAACAGGACTTCAAGGGAATATAGAGAAGACGGAGATAATGAAGATAATCAACCAACTATCCAACAACAACAAGCACTAATCGCCATCAACAGCAAAAGTGTGAAAGAGATTACTTCCTTCACTTATCTAGGAAGCATCGTTTCAACTACAGGTGACAGCATGAATGTGGATGTTGAAGCCAGCCAGAATCCGAGAGTTAAGATACACCTTCAACACTCTAAAATCAGTTTGAAAATCTTCTGCACTCCGCCTTAGTATAAGGAATGAAATTCGAATTTTCAGTACATATGTTACGTCAGTCAGTTCTTCTATATAGCTCACAAACATAGTACGTCACGGAAAGCGTTCCCAACAGGCTACTGCAAACTTTTATCAACATCTTCCCCTTTACCCAAGATCGAATGACTTTTATCTTGACTTTCCTTCAGTTTCAGTTCAATTATACTCAATCCGGTCAGTTATATTATGTCACCCGATTTGCTTATTTAATTTTTTCATAATTTCTATCCAGTTAGAACTTTCTACATTTCGCAATTTCTAGTCTAAAATTCACCTACCTGGGAAGCATCGTTTCAACTACAGGCGGAACTGACGAGGATATCAAAACCAGAATCGGAAAAGCAAGACAAGCTTTCATTACTCTCAAATCTGTGTGGAGGTCAACATCACTCTGCATCAAAAATAAGATCCGGATTTTCAACTCCAATGTAAAGTCAGTGCTTCTATACGGATCAGAGACTTGGCGAGTCATAATGAGCATCTCAAACAAACTTCAGACCTTCATTAACAGTTGTTTTCGCTCAATACTATTCAAGATCAGATGGCCGGCCAGAAAAGATCAGCAACAAGGATCTCTGGGAATGAGCGAACCAACTCAGCAGGAACCGATTGTGAAACAAATAGGCAGGAAGAAATGGAGATGGATTGGCTGGCCATACACTGAGGAAACCATCAAGTGACATCACTAGACAAGCCATTGCTTGAGTGGAACCCGAAAGGGAAGCGGCGAGTTGGTCGTCATTGCAAGGGTGACTTGGAGGAGGTCGTGCGAGGAGGGGAGATGAAAGCATGTAGACAGACCTGGAGCGGGCTGAAAAAGTTGGCAGGAAACAGAAGGCAATGGAGGTGTGCAGCTGAAGCCCTATGTTCCTCTAGGAACTAAAGGATACAAATAATAATAGTAATAATAGTCTAAAATCTACAGTTCAAATGACACATCTTTGGAAATATTCCTTTAGTTGCTAAGTAAATTTACTATATATATATATATATATATATATGCGACTGTACACGTTTGGAATGTTATCTCCGAAAAGAGAAACTCTTCGCTGAACGCCTTTTCTTTTATCTGACTCGGTGGGAATTTTCAAGTTTTTCTCTTAGCTGAATGATTTAATTTCAGATCTTTCATTCAGTTGAAAAGTCAAATATCTGGTCAATGAGAAGATCAACATCAAAACAAGGGGATGCAATGATAAGGGAGTCTATGCGAACAACCTAGTCACATCAAAGGGTCATCAGATGACGAAAATATTTCATCCAAGATAATTCCCTAAATGCTCAGTTCACATTAAAACTACTACTACTAAAGATGCTGTGTAGGGATAACACTAAACACTTTACAACTAAAGCATCCACTTGAGAGAACATAACAGCACTGGGAATAAATGAGATTCTCATTATAATAGAATCGATATTACTTTAA